AACAGCAGAATATATACGTTCTTTTCAAGTGTACATGGAACATTTTCCAGGAGAGATCACTTATTAGGATACAAAACAAGCCTAAATAAATTTAAGTAGACTAAAATCCTATCAAGCATCTTCTCTGATCATAATGCTCTGAAACTTGAAATCAGTCACAAGAAGAAAACTAAAAAACACACAAAGAACATGGAGGCTAAATAACATGCTCCTAAACAATGAATCTGTTAACAATGAAATCAAGGAAGAAATAAGAAAGACCTCAAAACAAATAAAAATAAAAACACAGCAACCCAAAATCTGTGGGACACAGCAAAAGTAATCCTAACAGGAAAATTCATAGCAGTACAGGCCTATCTCAAGAAACAAGAAAAATCTCAAATAAACATTCTAAACTGACACCTGAAGAAACTAAATAAAGAACAAAAAACAAAGATCAGAGCAGAAATAAACAAAAGAGTCTAAAAAACAATAACAAAAGATCAATGAAATCAAGAGCTAACAAACCTTTAACCATACTTATCAAGAAAAAAAGAGAGGCCCTGGCCGGTTTGGCTCAGCGGTTAGAGCGTCGGCCTGCGGTCCGGAAAGACCTGGGTTCGGTTCCCGCTAGGGGCATGTACCTTGGTTGCAGTTTGTCCCCAGCCCTGGTTGGTCGTGTGGGTGGCAGCCACTCGATGTTTCCCTCTCTCTTCCTCTCTCTCCCTCCCACTCTGTCTGTGCAAAAAATGGAAAAATGTCCTCGGGTAAGGATTAAAAAAAGAAAAAAAAAAGAAAAAAAGAGAGGATCCAAATAAATTAAGAGAATAACTGATACTACAGAAATACAGCAGATTATAAGAAAATATTATTAACTCATTGCCAACAAAATGAATAATATGTAAGAAATGGATAAGTTCCTAGAAACATATAATCTTCTAAAAATGAAGTAAGAAGAAACAGAAAATGTAAATCAATCATTTACAACCAACAATTTCAAAGCAGTAATGAAAAAGTCCCAACAAACAAAAGTCCTGGACTGGATGGCTTCACGGATGAATTTTACTAAACACTGAAAAAAGAACTAACACCTACTCTTAAACTATTCCAAAAAATTCAAGAGGAGGAAAGACTCTCAAGTTCATTTTATAAGGCTGAAATTATCCTAATTCCAAAACCAGATAAAGACACTACAAAGAAAGAAAATTAGAGGCCAATACTGCTGATGAACATAGATGCAAATATCCTCAACAGAATGTTACCAAACTGAATTCAGTAGTACATTTAAAAGATCATACACCATGATGTACTTCTGGGATGCAAGGTTGGTACAACATCTACAAATCAATTAACGTGACACACCACATTAACAAAATGAGGGATAAAAATCACATAATCATATCAATAGATGCAGAAAAAGCATCCGACAAAATCCATTTTCCATTTATGATAAAAACTCTCAGCGAAGTGGGAATAGAGGGAATATACCTCAACAGAATAAAGACCATATATGACAAGCCTACAGCTAACAACATAGTCAATGAGGAAAAACTAAAAGTGCTTCCCTTATGATCAGGAACAAGACAGGGATGTCCACTTCACCACTCCTATTCAACACAGTACTAAAAGTCCTACCCACAGAAATCACACAAAAATAATAAATAAAAGGCATTCAAATTGCCAAGTAAGAAGTAAAACTCATTATTTGCAGATGACATGACACTATATAAAGAACCCTAAGGATTCCACCTAAAAACTACTGGAATTGATACATGAATTCAGTAAAGTGGCAAGATAAAAAATAAACATTCAGAAATCAGTTGCATTTTTATATACCAATAATGAACTATCAGAAAGGGAAACTAACAAAACAATCCCACTTATAACTGCATCCAAAAAAAAAGGAAGAAAGAAAACAATATACACCTAGGAATAAATTTAACCAAGGATGTAAAAGACCTGTACTTGGAAAATTAAAAGACATGCCCTAGTCGGTTTTGCTCAGTGGTTAGAGTGTCAGCCCGTGGACCAATGAGTCTTGGGTTTGATTCTGGTCAAAGGCACATACCTTGGTTGCAGTCTGTCCCCAGCCCTGGCTGCGTCATGCAGGAGGCAACCAGTCGATATTTCTCTCTTTCCGTTCCTCTGTCCTACTCTATCTGATGAAAAATACAAAAATATCCTCCGGTGAGGATTGAAAAAAATGAAAAGATACTGAAGTAAGAAGTTGAAGATACAAATAAATGGAAGCATATACTGTGCTCATGGATAGGAAGAATAAATGTCCACATTACCCCAAACAATCTATAGATTCATCGCAATCCCTATCCAAAATATCAATGGCATTTTTTTTTTTATCCTCACCCGAGGACATTTTTCCATTTTTTATTCAGATAGAGCAGGAAGGAGAGAGAGAAAGAGAGAGAGAAAGATCAATGTGAAAGGTACACATCGAGTGGCTGCGTCCCACACGACCCAACCAGGGCCGGCGACAAACTGCAACCAAGATACATGCCCTTAGCGGGAACCGAACCCGGGTCTCCCTGGACCGCAGGCCGACGCTCCAACTGCTGAGCCAAACTGGCCAGGGCTCAATGGCATTTTTCACAGAACTAGAACAAATAATCCAGAAATGTATATGAAATCACAAAAGACCTCAAATAGCCACAGCAATCTTGAGAAAGAAGAACAAAGTTGAAGTTATCACGCTACTTAATATCAAACTATACTAAAAGGTGATAGCAATCAAAACAGACATACAGATCACTGGAACAGAAGAGAGCGCCCAGAAATAAACTCACGCCTGTATGGTCAATTAACATATGAGAAAGGAAGCAAGAACATACAAGGGGGTAAAGATAGTCTTTTCAATAAATGGTGTTGGGAAAATTGGACAAATATCTGCAAACAATGAAACTAGACTACCTTCTTACACCATGTACAAGAATAAAGTAAAAATGAATTAAAGTCTTAAATGTAAGACTCAAAACCATAAACTTCCCAAAAGAAAGCCAAGACAGTAAAACCTCTAACATCTTTCTTAGCAATATATTTTTTCTTGATATATCTCCTTGGGCAAAGGAAAAACACAAAATAATAAACAAACGGGAGTACATCAAACTAAACAGTTTTTACACAGCAAAGGAAACCATCAACAAAATAATAGGACAACCCACCAAATGGGAGAACATGTTTGCCAATGATACATCTGATAAGGAGTTAATATCCAAAATTTATAAAGAACTCATACAACCCAATATAAAAAAAAAACAACCCCAAAGAATCCAATTAAACATGAGCAGAGGTCCTGAACAGACACTTCTCCAACGAGGACACAAAGATGACCAACAGACATATGAAGAGATGCTCAACATCACTAAAGTCAGAGAAATGCAAATTAAACCACAATGCGGTATCACCTCATACCTGTCAGAATGGCTATCATCAATAAATAAATGACAAGTGTTGGTGAGGATGCAGTAAAAAGGAAACTATTGTGCATTGTTGGTGGGAATGCAGACTGGTGCAGCCTCTACGGAAAACAGTATGAAGTTCCTCAAAAAATTAAAAATAGAACTGCCTTATGACCCAGCGATTCCACTTCTGGGTATATATCTGAAGAAACCCAAAACACTAATTTGAAAGAATATATGCACCCCTATGTTCACTGCAGTGTTGTTTATAATAGCCAAACCATGGAAGCAACCCAAGTGCCCATAAATAGATGAGTGGATAAAAAAGTGGTGGTACACACATATAATGGAATATTACTTGGCCATAAAAAAGGAATAAAATCTTACTACCATTTGCGACAGCATGGATGGACCTAAAGGGTATTGTACTAAATGAAATAAGTCAGTCAGAGAAAGACAAAAACCATATGATTTCACTTATATGTGGGATGTAAAGAACAAAATAAACAAAATTGAAACAGACAACAGACTAATAGTTCACAGAGGGGTGGGGGGATGAGGGATTAAGAAGTACAAATTGGCACCCTGGCTGGTGTGGCTCAGTTGGTGGGGCATCCTCCTGTGCACTGAAAGGTTGCCATTTTGATTCCCGGTCAGGGCACATGCTGGGGTTTTGGGCTCTATCCCTGGTAGGTGTGTGCAGGAGGCAGCCAATCGATGTTTCACTCTCACACTGATGTTTCTCTCTCGCTCTCTCTCTAAAAATCAATAAAAAAAATCTTTAAAAAAAAGAAATGCAAATGGTACCTATAACATAGTCATTGGATATAAAGTACAGCATAGGGAATATAGTCAATAATATTGTTATAACTAAGTGTGGTGCCAGGTGGGTACTGGAAATATTGTAAAGTATCTGTCGGTCTATCCACTATGTTGTACACCTGAAACTAATACAAAATAATAATGAATGTAAACTGCAATTGAAAAATTAAAACAACAACAAAAAGAATGAAATCTTGCCATCTGCAACATGGATGAACCTAGAGAGTATTGTATTGAGTGAAATAAGGCAGAAAGAGAAAGACAAATGCCACATGGTTTCACTTATATGTGGAACCTAAAAAACAAAATAAACAAGCAGACCAGAAAAAGACTCATAGATACAGAGGACATTTTGATGGTTGCCAGATGGAAGGGGGTTTGAGAGGAAGGGTGAAAAGGTGAAGGGAGTAAGAAATACAAATTGGAAGTTACAGATTAGTCATGGGGAGGTAAAGTACCACATAAGGAATACAGTCAATAATATTGTAATAACTATGTACGGTGTCAGATGGGTACTAGATTTATTGGGGTGATCACTTCATAAGTTATATAAATGTCGTGTCAAGGGTTATACACTTGAAATTAATATAATATTGTATGTCAACTGAAAAAAAAATAGGAACTTGCTAAAACATTTGAGAATCCAGTGAACGACAGGCAGAAACTTTAGGGAAAAGCAGAGCACAGAGGATGAAATCCTAACCCTCTGTAATACAAGATGAAAAATATGTCAACCATGTGAACTGTCACATGCACAGATAAGACTATTGGCTAATGGGGTGTTACCTTGGCAACTGTTTGTTCAGCGATGGTGCTGGGCCGACGCTGGCGGGCGTCGAGCCTCTGCTCCACAGGAAAACTGCTCCTATGTGATTTCAGGCGCTCCACCAACAAGTAATAAATGGCAGCGAAGTGATTGTAGCTCTTGTTCTGCAAAGACTGAAAGAGAAAACAAGTGGTGAAGGCCAAGAACCATAAAAACCAATCCAATGATCTATACCTTTCTAAAAAAAGATGGAAGAAATCATGTGTTCTTAAAACCAGAGTAACAAAGTAGGCCTCAAAATAAAAGCTGTTCCAGAGTTTAGAATGACAGACAGATCACTTCAAGTTTCTCGTATTAATTATATAAAGGGTGATACCTTTAAATGACTTGACAGGCTCTTTGACATGAACAAGATCCGTTTATTTTCCTGCATTCGGAGAAAATGCCAGCACTGTCCCATGCAGACACTCCCCAGGGCTGACACATGGGCCCATCTCAGAGCTGTAACTATGGTGTAAGGTCGGTTAGCAGCCAGAACCCAGGGGCTCTACTTCCATAGCTTCAACACAAGTCCAAACCATGGCAAACTCTGAAGTGACTGATTCAAGTCTTTGGGGAACTTTCTGGTGATTATTTTGGACTGGAGAATGACATTTGGATGTAGATTGAGAGACACTGTGTCTCCATTCTTAGGTAATTTTTTCCTCTTGTTTTTGCAGTCCCGCCCTCTTAAAACCTTGAAAATAAAGTTGCTTCCCAATTTTTCACATCCCTCGTCTGCCAGATTTCCCAGGGCACTAAAGAAAAAACTGCTCCTCTGGCTTCTAATTCCACCTGACAGTCAGCATGGGCGCTGTGCAATGCACCTCAGAGGCAGACACTCTCAGCAAAATTCCCAGGCTAGCAGAACTGTGCTCACAGCTGCCGTCCGCACCTACTTTACGGGCAAGTGCAGAACACTGCTGAGTGCGCGATGAGCAAAGCAGGAAAGCCAGTCTGGTTTCACCATGGCTACAGCGAAGGAAAAGGCGGCAGTTTGAAGCACTCATTAGTTACAAGGGAGCATTTTATCTTCTTTTTTGTTATGGTCCCCCCTTCAAAGTAATATATATATATATTTTTTACAGCTGCATAAGTATTAAAAATATGTATGTCTCATGAATATGCTAACTACTAAAGAAAGAAAAGTGACGAGAAATTTCCCAGGTTCAAGACCTTCTGACTTCTATGGCCCATACTACTTCATACTAGGAATCTACCTGTTCTTGTCTTCTCGGTTTCTCCATTTCACAAGCTAAATCCAGTAGGCTTTCCTAAACCTTTCCCTACCATTCTTGTTTTCTGCTCAGCCCTCAGCCTTGTTCCAAAGTTGTACACTTAGGTTCTGTATAAACTGGTTTATTACCTATATGGAACTTTATGATTCATCTAATAAGAAACTTGCTACTTTGTATTTAAGTTGCCATCTTTGTTTTTCTCAGTCCTATATAAACCCTTCCTCTTGAATTTTTTGGCAGATGGGGCAGGGTCAAAGGCAGGAATCTATACACTGAGTAAAAGCAAAAAAAAAAAAAAAAAAAAAGAGTCTGATGCAATATTTGGGGAAAACTGAACAGTATGCCTAGATGCTGGGGATGGCCATGCTAGAAGACCAGGATGACAGGTATAAGTTTGAAATTTCAAGTTACTGAGTATAACAGAATCCTAAAATATCTCCAGCCTGATCACTTTACCTCGATGGTTTTCTGTTGATCTATTCCAAGGCTGTGCATCAGTCGCAGAACCTGTTCATTAAATTCCCCAATGGATGGCTCATTTTCTTGCCCTTGTGGGTAGAGAATAGGTCTCTGTACAGGAACTTCTATGAGCATCCATTTATGTTCCTTGATTTGAGCTATGGTTAGCCGCTTGGACGGATCTAGGACCAACATCCTTCGAATAAGGTGTTCACAATCTATGGAAAACACAATGTTACAAAAGTCACATAAATCACCTTGCACTTCGGGGTGCTTGCTTAATTCATGTGACTTTGTACAATGGCAGTAATCTTCGTATCCTTCACAGAGCTCACTGGAAAGCAGGTCAGATGAATTAATGAACACCTGAAGGTTATTTATATTTGTCAAGTTCACATGGTGAATGTTGACTCACAACATTAACCATCACTGTGAATGAATACTTAAGAAAGACAGGAGGCTGCAGGTCTACCCAATTCTGTGGTAAATTAACTTTTCTACTGAATTTGTCAACTGAAAATTTCTAGACACAGACTCAGATTTCCACTAAAGGAAAAAACAAGCCTTCTTCCTAGAATAAGCAAATAATAAGTGAATCCTCAGTCTCATCCAAGGCTGATATACTATCGCTCTACAGGTGAGGCAAGAGCTTGCCAGTGGACTGCTGCTGTCTCCTTGACAGAGCAGCTGAGAAAACTGCTCAGGAAACATTACTTACTTCTGATTACACTAAGAAAACTGCACCGCTGCAAGTCTGGACACTAGCTTACGTTCTGAGCTGACATCATGCTCTTTACCATTCCACATCAGCTAAACTTAGATCATGTGCTATGTGCCAGGCGCCACGCTGTGTGCTTTATACAGATGAATTTAAGCAGTCCTCACAATAGCTCTACCAGGAACTATGTTATTTCCATTTTACAGAATGAGGACACTGAAGCACATGAGAGGAGATATAACTTGCCGAGGTCAGACCACCAGTGAGTGGTGAACCCAGGATTGAAACCAGGCAGTCTGACTCCAAAGTCTACACTCTTCACTACTGGAGCGTTATTTCTACTGTTACAGGGAACGGAAGAGTTAAGGCTGGTAACTACAAACTAATCTAAGGAATTTAACTGCTGCCTATGTGACAACTCAATTAAGACTCGTAGGGATTATGGCATTTCATCTTAATTCCATAGTTTTGTCAGCTGGTTTTGAAATTTAATTTAAAAATTTTAATTTTATAACTTCCTGCTAAAAAATATGGGAAAATCCATTTCAAACTTAGAGTAAAATGGCTGTAAAAACTGTATCTACAAAGAGCTTTTCTAAGTTTAAAATAAATCAGGGGCATTTGTAGACCGAGGGTAAATGGGAAGACTTGCTGTTCTTGATCTGGGGAACTGGCTGTTTTCAGTTAGGAAGGATGGAACTTTTCTCACCTACAGGAAGGGGGCTGCTTATTTCTATGGTGTTGAAAGTAACTCATTCACTTTATCCTACAGCACCCAAACTCTCAGAAAAAGGGAAGGTTTGCGTAGGCATTTCATCTGGAGCACAGATTCTGTAATGCCCAGTTAGAAAGGTGAACAGGTTGTTTACCTTCTGACATAAAATATGGAATCCGGAATCTTCCTTCCAAAACCCTTTGCCTCAAAATAGGAAGCGTCGGTCCATCAAAAGGCAGAGCTCCACAGACAAGAACGTAGAGAACAACGCCCATGCTCTAGGGGAAGAAAACAACGAGGTCATTTTTCTACCAAGAACTTCAAACACTCTTTGTTTTCCCAAATATCCCCAGGGCTCTTAAAATTCTATGGACTAAAAATTCCTGTTTGAATGTACTATTTTCTTGAATTTGAAAAAATAAACAACCTGAAACCCTGATTATTGTAATAAAGTATCCTATAAAAAATACCAAAACATATAAATTTAATAATTTTGATTACTACTTAACTTTAAATTGCTGATGATGTTAGAATGATAACATCTGTCCTTAGAAATTCTCTCCTAGAATCCAAGTCAAGATGTTCAACTCACTCTAGTGCAGTGGACAGGGAGAGCAGGAACTACTGTCTAAGTGTTAGACACCAAGAGCTTCAAAGATGGGCCAGAGCACCAAGTATTATTATTATTATAGATGCATTTAACACAGCAAAGCAAAGAAATACCCAAATATCCAGCTGTGGTCCTTCATACTGCTGCCCTTCAAAGACTTCTGGGGCTGCATAAGGGGGGCTGCCACACCAAGTTGCCAGCAGTTCACCGCTTTTAAAGAAATTTCCAAAACCGAAATCTATTGGAATGGAAATAAATGTTACTTTCATCTGTGGTCTCAAACGATACTGAATTTCTCTGTAACAAATTTTATAATGTGCCATATGAGCAGTATCACTACTATTTACGGAGGGGATTGGGATGGTTTCTATCTTGTGATGCTTTCCTAGCACTCAGCATAATGACTAACAAATATTAAGCATTCAAAAACTGTTACTTGGCCGGTGTGGTTCAGTTGGCTGGGTGTCATACTGTGCACCAGAAAGTCTCCAGTTCAATTCCTGGTCAAGGTCACATGCCCAGGTTGCAGGCTCAATCCCCAGTAGGCATGGGGGGGGGGGGGGGCAGCCGACTGATGTTGGGCTCTCATATTGATGTTTCTCTCGCTCCCTCTCCAAAAAAATATTTCTTGAATGAATGTATAAATGAATAAAGTTTTCTTCTGAAAGAGAATGAGTAAGAGATTGGAAAAGTACTTTAAATAATGTATTTTTAAGGCCCCCCCCCAAAATACATTGGTGTGGACAACCAACTTGAATTTGATATTCTTAGAATTTTAATTACCTGATGATTAAGACTTATTTGTCTGGTCTATAAGAAAAGAATCAAATGAGGAAACTGGAAGATATTTACCTAAATACAACAAAATGACTTGGTTATTCTTTTTTTTTTTAATCCTCACCTGAGGATATTTTTTGATATTTTGTTCAGATAGAGTGGGAGGGAGAGAGAGAGAGAGAGAGAGAAATATCAACATGAGAAAGACACATTGAATGGTTGCCTCCTGTATGACCCTGACTGGGGCTGGGGTTCGAACCTGCAACCTAGGTAACATGCCCTTGATTTTTTTTTTTTTTTTATCCTCACCCGAGGATATTTTTCCATTTTTTGTACAGATAGAGCGGGAGGGAGAGAGAGAGAGAAACATCGATGTGAAGGGACACATCGAGTGGCTGCCACCCGCACGACCAACCAGGGCCAGGGACAAACTGCAACCGAAGTACGTGCCCTTAGCGGGAACCGAACCCGGGTCTCTCTGGACCGCAGGCCGACGCTCTAACCGCTGAGCCAAACTGGCCAGGGCAACATGCCCTTGATTGAGAATCAAACCCATGATCTTTCGGTCTGTGGGATGACACTCTAGCTGCTGAACCAAACTGGCCAGGGACAAATTATAAACTTTTAAGGCAGCTGAGTACAGTGTTTCCTAAGTAACAGCTTAGTGTTGACCAATACACTCTGATTTAGGCAGATACCTATCTGAATTGCTTATTAACATGCGGTGGCTATATGGTCCAGGCAGGCCACCTATCACCAGTACTTACTCATTTATGGAATGCAGTGGCATTATACTTCAAAATAGTTAATGGCCTTCCCGTACTGGTCATACTGAATTTACAGCTTTGATATACAGCATGTACTCTGGAATCTGATACTCAGATGCCTTCAATATGCATGAAAATTACAGCAGAAGTCAGTGAGCTTTGGTATTATTGCAAGCTTGTGCCGTTTGCTAAGCCTTCACATTGTCTCGTGTTCTTACCAAGGAAACACATTCCTATTATTTTGTCAGTTACAGCCACACTGTTTTGTTACAGCACACTCCTGACTGGAAAACACTGCCTTAGTGACAGGAACCGGCTCTGCACCAGCTAGTGCGCAGCACTGACCGGGCAGCGAGCTTTAAGGGGTGCATACCCCAGGGGACTGGACCAAGTCTCCAGTGCCAGACTGACTGGCTGGGAGACTTTGGACCAGTCTTGGTGACCTTAATTTCCCCATCTGTAAAGCTGAAATAATAAATACACGCAGACAGCAAGCTGTTGTGGGAGTCCAGTGATAACGTAAACTCACACTCCATTCACACCTGAGTGCAGTCCGCACCTAATACCAAAGCATTCTCTTTGCGAGTTGATGTAAAAGCTGGTGGCAAGCAGCAGTAACAGTAACCACAGTCATAATCTCCATCACGATGGGTCATGGCAGAGTACAAGCTAGGAGGTTAGGGAGAACTAGAGCTGACCTCCCACTGTCACCTTCTAGCTTCAAGCCCTCTAGGTGATAAAATGAACTTCCCTGAACCATAGTTTCTGTATCTATGAATGTGGGGTTAGCCCACCTACCCAGAAGGATGCTGTGAGGAGTAGAAGAGATTGAGTGTAAAATGACTGCAGCATATGCGAGATGTCAGCCCCCTTCTCTGTAAAGCATCTTTCAGAGAAAATACACAGGAGAGGTTGACAAAGTGTAGTGCAGCTTAAGGGTTCACAAGAGAACAGAGGGTGCAGGTGGGGAAAGAGCCTCAGGCGCAGTCTATACCTGGTGGAACAACACAGGGGTCTGTCCTTGGAACCCGGGAGTATGAGGCAGCGAGAACTTCTGTCTTCACAGTGTGACTATGGTTCAGTCCTATACTTTGTTTTCCAAAATGACTGTTAGAGAGGTCTTACCTTCTCAATCCCACCTCTGTGACTAACCACCTATCATATATCATGTCATATTGATACATTTCTAATTTTCTAGAAAACTTATATTCTCCAATGAGTCAAGAACTACATATTCAACTAACATTTAAAGAGGAAAATGTTAATTTCACTCACAGAAGCTCCGGATGTGTGTTTGAAGATCCTGAAATAGGTCCAATAATTGCTATACTTTAAACCATAATCACAGGATGAGTTTCAGTACATGTAAGCTGAGGATATGCTCTGAATAGCACTGCAAAGCTTGAACATCTCAAAGAGCCATTATAGAACTCCCCCGTTCTGGACGTCCCTGAACTCCGGGGTGAATGCAAAGGACTGACTGGGACAGAGGCGGCCAGGAAGAAGCCTGGTCTCTCCACTGCCCACGCTTGCTCACTGGCCCACTTTTTTTTTTTTTAATCCTCACCTGAGGATATTTTTCCTTCAGATAGAGTGGAAGGGAGAGAGAGAGAAACACTGACGTGAGAGGGACACATCCACTGGCTGTCTCCTGCACAACCCCGACCAGGGCTGGGACGAACCGCAACTGAGGTACGTGCCCTTGACCGGAATTGAAACCGAGATTCATTGGTCCACGGGCTGACGCGCTCTACTGCTGAGCCAAAGCAGCCAGGGCTCAATGGTACATTTCATAGGCAAGAAGAGAGCAAGGGCGAGGGGAGCATCACGTGCCTATGGCAACCCAATCTCAACCTTGGCTTTACATGGCTAGGACTAGGACACAGAACGTGTCCTGTTAACTTATAAGGAGTGGCACTAAGCAGACGTTTACTTCTATTTCCTGTGAGTAACTAAAGAAAATAGGAACGTGAGCCTGTAGAAACAATAAAACATCAAAAGACAATCAGGTTGATGAAGGCTATTATTAACGGCATATATGCAGATGTCTTCTATAACCTTGCCAAAGCACTTATACACAATGTATTTGTAACCAATCATCTGTTACCAGAAAAGGAAGACCGTGGAGTCAGGCAGATTTGGAATCAAATCTTGGGTTTTCCACTTTGCTGTGTCATCTTGGGTAAATTACTTAACTTCTCAAAGCCTTGGTTTCCTCATTTGCAAAATGGGGACAAATACCTCCACTTCATAAAGTCACTGTGAGCAACTTATTATATATTATGTCACTACTTATAAAGATAATATATAATGCTTGAGCTACTCAATAGAATAGAAGAATAGTCATTCTTCCTCTTCTTGTTTTACATATCTTCCTTCTCCATCAGACTAAACTCAAGAGTAGAGAGGGGAAAATGGTATGTCTGAACTCCCAGCATTTAGCCTGCTCTCTGTAGACAGCAGCTGTTCAATAAAGGTTTGCTGAATGAATATGTGGTCATCATCTCTTTCAGAAGGGCTTACTATGCGTCAGAAACTTATCTAAGCTCTCTGAAGATGATTTCTTTTTTTAATAACCCTATTTGGTAAGTGAGGGAAGAATGTTAAGGACCTTGCTAGAAGTTATACTAAGTTGTACACTGGAATAGAAATCAAGTCCTCACTGCTAACCACCACCTTTATGTCCTTCCCATGCACAGTGATATGTAGATATTTCTGAACAAGTTAATAATGGTCAGGTTTAAGAAGTGGCAATGGAAAGTCACTTAAAAATAAAAGACTTTTTATTTCTTCACAGGAATCTGGATGACTTGCTTCATTCAGTCTGCAGCTTCCTGCCTAGAAGCACACAGTAAAATGAAGGAAAAGCAAGAGGGATGAAACACGAAAATGGCACAGCTATGCAGAATTTGCTTCTTATCACCATTTATTCAAGTGGAATGTGTGAATGTGTCATCCTACCACCCAAATTCACTGCATTCTTTCATTCACCATTTGAGTGCACACATGGATCCACCATTGTGCAAACACAGAAGAGAGCTGAGCTACAACAGAGGATAGTAAGAGATGCTATGGTTTCATCTGATTTTTGGAAAGCACTATGAAAACTAACACTTGGGCATTCATTCATCTTTATGACAGACTCAGACCCTGCTGTAAAGGAGACATCCTTTTAGTTTTCCTTCTGTAATGTCCTCACCTGTAAGTTAATACCTAGCATGAATGCTGCTATGTCCCTCAGGCATTCTGTTTTCTGTTTCTCTGTCATAAAATTATGCCATGTAATGTTGAATTCACTTTGATATTATTTAACTTTTAATTTTGAAATAATTTAAGATTTACAGAAGAGCTGTAACAATAAAGGATAATTCTCTATGCCCTTTGCCCAGGTTCCTCTAATGTTAACATTTTATGTAACTATAGAGGTACAATGATCAAATCTAAGAAAGTAACATTGATTCAATACTATTAACAAAACTATGGATTTCACTACTTTCTCTTACTAATGCCCCTTTTTAGTTCAGGATTCCACAATGCATTTAGTTGTCATGTCTTCTACTCGGTCTTTCCTTCTCCTTCATGACCACGATGAGTACAGGTCAGGTGTTTTGTAGACTGTCTCTCAGTTTGGGCTTGGCTGATATTTTCTCATGATTAGATTAAGATTGACTTTTGGGGAAGAACAGCACAGAGG